CTTCACAGTGAGGGTGGCAGAGCCCTGGAACAGGCTGCCCAGGGAGGATGTGGAGTCCCCTTCCTTGGAGATTTTCAAGACCCCCCTGGATGCCGTCCTGAGTAACATGCTCTAGCTCTAGGCAATCCTGCTTCAGCAGGGGAGTTGGACTAGATGATCTCTATGGTCCCTTCCAACTCCAAAAATTCAGTGAAATTCCTGTGAAGAATTTCTTCCTAATGTCCAGGAAGATGTGGGGACTGGAGAGCCCCAGCAGGTCCAGGGGAACGGAGGGTGAGGTGTCCATGTGGGCACTTGGCTAAGGCTGAGCAGGGCACCCGGGATGGAGCACCCGTCTGTGTGTGGGGAGCACACACCGCCGCAGGGAGGGAGGATTAAACTTTCCCAACTCCAGTTGCTTTTCTGGAAAAAGCATATAAACCACCAGGCAGCGTGAAGTAGAAGTCCTCCTTAGGCTGCAAATTGTGGGTTTCTCACTGTTCCTGAAGAGCTCCACAAACTTCAAAGAATGAAACCAGAGCAGGTGGCTCTGAGCCTCAAGAGCTGAGATTTCTCCGAAATCTCCTGGCTTTCAGACTTGACCCCAGGTCCTGGCTGCAGGAACAGGCGGTGCTGGCCAGGCAGCGAGGTGGGGGCAGACAAACCCCAGGATGCTGCCACGCTGGGCAGTCACGATGCTGGTGCAGAGGGACCCCAGGAACACCCCAGTGTGCAGGAGGGGAGTGCAGAGCCCCAGGTCCTGGGGACTGGTGTGACTCTGGGCAAGGCAGGGAGTGTGTGCAGAGGAAGGGAGGGTGGTCACCAGGAAAAGAGCATCCATCGTGTGCCTCTGCCTTTACCCAACCCCTTCCTTACTTGCCAGCTGGGCACAGGGAGGGAGACCCATGGTCTGGTGGAAGTGGCAAGGGGACTGTGGTGTGAGAAATGTCCCTTTGAGCTAAGTAAGTTTAACAGTGTCTTCAATTTTCAAGCTTCCCAGCGCTCAAAATCTCTCCCAGCCTCCTTTAACACTCCAGACCCCGACGCACAGCAGCGGGGCTCTCCCCGAGCTAACACTCGTACGGGTCAGAAGCTTTACCTGTAGGGTCATGGCTCTGCCCAGCAGTAACAGACCTGAACAACCAGAGGAAAACAGCATAGCATCCCATCCAGCCCGTGCACCCCTGCTTTTGGAGACACATCACCTAAACCCACTATGAAGATACTTGCACCAGCAGTTTAGATGTTTGCTGCCACCTCTCTCCCTGATGAAGTTATACAACAGGGTAACGAGTCGGCTTTGCGTATGTTTTCACTTTTCCTTTGCATGCCAAGGAAAGTTTAAACAGAATCTGTCAGCATTAACCAGCAGCTCCAGCTATATTCACTTGTACCCGCCAGCATCACTTCCAAAATGCAGGCTGGGAGGTGGGTGTGGAGGGGAAATTTCAAACTAATATCAGCATTACAAATTATCACCCCTCCCCACAACCCACCCCCCAGCATTACTGTTTGTGGAAGAAATCTTTGCTTTGCTGCTAAGGGGTTTTCTTGCCCTATTTATATCTGCTGACAGTACCCCAATTGCGAGAGATCCATAAATGTCCCTGGGGGGGCTCGTGAGCTGCCTGTGCTGAGGCACACCAGGGCACCTGCTGGCACAGCAGGCTTTAGGACATTGTTTAGATAAGAAAAGCATTGCTTTAATGAGCTGCAATTCTTGCCCTTAGAATCAAGTTAAGTCTCAAACCCAAGCAACAAAGTACCTGTGTTCCTTATGCTCTTTCTATTTTTTCTGGGCTAACGCTGAGAGATACAAATCTTCATTTTGGCTTTGTGGTTTCCTTGGGAGTTACAAACGGTCTGTAAGGAAAGCTCTCCTGGCTCTCACCGAGAGTTTTGCTTAAGAAGGTTCCTCCGGTGACACGCACCCTCTTCCCATTTTCACAGAACCCCCTTTTTCTCTCCCACAACTGAAATTTCTTTAGTCAAGTCACTTTCATTCCTCTGCAGCATCTGCCCTTTGCTCACATACGTTTTGCTGTGAGAACACGGTGTTCTCAAGGTCCAGCACAGCACAGGGCTGGGGTTTGTGGGAGCCTCTGTCATTTCTGTGTCTGCACAAAAACAGCCAAGAAGTTCCTGGAGACCATAATGTCTGGGGAGAGGGCAAGGACAGGGAGGGTTGTGTGAGATTGGAGTACAGGCACGGGCATCGATTGTTCCTCACACACCTTTCTGCAGGAGTTTAAAAAAAAGACATCTGGGAGAAAGCATAAATCCCAGGAAGCAAAGAGCCAATGTTACCATTTCAGGCAGAAGCAGTGATGCTTAAGGAAGCCTGTGAAGCTGGGCAATTGTAGCTCTTATAACCACTAGTCTTTAATCCTTAAGGCTTACAGGTGCACTGAACACCAACTCTGGTGAGGAAACCAGGTCACACCAGGCTGCAGGTCACACACACACACGTGTGTATACATGCAGACAGATGTGCTCAATTATTAATCAGCATTTGTAACAGACTTGCTTTGGCTGGATGAATGTTTAAAGACTCCAAGCATCTCTCACTCTCGAAGGGACACCTCTGGCCCCAGTCCTTGCCCACCAGGTTTCCAAAGCCACTGCCATCAGTCTCATCAGTACCATTTCAGGACATAGACCAAAGCCTTAATTCAGCCATTTCTGCTAAAGCAAGTGTATTTTTTTCATCCAGGCATTGTCTCGCTCATCTCCCTGGCTGTGCTTTCTTACGAACGTTACTGCACCATGACGAGAATGACCGAGGCTGATACCACCAACTACAGGAAGACATGGACAGGCATCATCCTGTCCTGGACGTACTCCTTGGTCTGGACTGCACCCCCCCTTTTTGGCTGGAGCAGTTACGGGCCAGAAGGACCAGGGACAACGTGCTCTGTGAACTGGCACTCAAAGGACATTAACAACGCGTCCTACATCATATGTCTTTTCATCTTTTGCCTTGTAATCCCCTTTGCAATTATTGTTTATTCATACGGGAAGCTGCTGTGCGCAATAAGGCAGGTAAGTAGATTCCTCAACTGCATCTTTACTGTGACCCCAAACCACTCAGAAACCAGTAACCACCACTTTCCACCTTTATAACTCCTCTGCTGTCAGATGCGCTGCCACCCTTGGAAACTGGCTCTTCTGTGACTGCCCTGGGGACTGGCTCCAGTCTACCAGGGCTTTCAAAGTGTGAGCAGCTGCAAGTCCCTATGAGAACTTGACAGATAAAGTCAGTTTGTCAGACTGCTTAAGATAGTCCCAATTACCCTGAATTAAAACTAGGAGTGACTTACCTACCCGTGATGAGACTGGTCCTAGGACTTAAATCTGCAGCAAGCCTATGGGGAGGTGAGCATCCGTACGATCTGTGGAGGGCGTGGGAGCTGGGATTTCTGAAGATCAGTGCTGCTTCTCCGAAAACATCAAGGGTGAACCCTGCAAAAAAAAGTGCTAAAAAGAAAAGTCACATATAATCCAGTTTCTGTCAGGATCCAGGCAAATCTAGAAGCTGGAGTTTAGCAAATGCAAACTTTAAGGCATGAAGTTTACCCCTTGCAGAGAAAACAAAGCTGATCCACAAGTGACCATAAGCTAATTAATCTATTCCCAAGATAACAGATATTTACTTTTAATAGTGCTAGCCCACCCGATGCAGAGTTTGGTACCCCTTGCAGAGAAAACAAAGCTGATCCACAAATGACCATGAGCTAATCAATCTATTCCCAAGATAAGAGATATTTGCTTTTAATAGTGCTAGCCCACCTGATGCAGAGTTTCGTATGGAACAGTGTCAGGTCAGCACTGTCAGGCAGCTGGAAATGCTCAGGCACAATTTTTTTGGTTTCTGGTGAGCATCATCTACATTTGGCCATGAGCCCAAGAGAGCGAGGTGCCAGCGTCCCCTGCTCATGGCACAGTGATGCTCCCCATGGGAGAAGATCCATGAGTGTGGCATCCCATCGGGGACCAGCCAGCGGGCAGGCAAGGACCAGGCAGCTCAGGCCGGGCCATCCGCTGTCCCCAAGCCCAAAGTGAGCATTTGCCACCCTACACAGCCCCAGCGTCCCGCCCCGCAGCCTGGGAGCCCACCCTGGGCTGGATGCGAGCTCCATCAGTGCTAGGAGAGCTGGCTTTGTCCCAGCTCAGCCTGAAAGATAAGAGGGAATTAGATAAAAATCACTCTATAAGCCTCATTTCAGATGTAAACATTTAACTTAAGCTTATTATTGCTCTGGGACTTTGGGTAGAATTAAATCAAATCAGTGTAGATGTTTGAGTTAATGCTGCTCGGTTGCCTCATTAGAAATCCCTTTTGTTCCCCTGATAGCAAGCTTGGTCCTCCTCGGCCACCGAATTTGCCAGGCACACACCTGTGTCTGGATGCGAGTTATCCTTCCACGAAGGGGGGATTTTCCATGAAGAGGGAAAGCTACAACCAGCCAGTGCTGCTGGAGGCAGCGTGCCCATTGCCCACGGGCAAGCAAGGTGCAGAAGAATCAGCAGAACCCCTGGTGGGTGTAAGAGGGAGGAAAAAAAGACTGAACAAAAGAAGCTCAACACACAAGCTAAATATTTAAACAATTGGACAACAGACTTCTTGGCTTTTAGAAGATCCCAAATTATAAGCAATACTCTGTAAGCCTTTTACCTTGCCTTCAGCTCCTGCCATGAACAGGTTCCTGTAACGGAGGTTATGTGCATCACTTACAGAAGTAAAGTTGCAGTGGGAGAGGGGGGTGTTTGGTTTCAGCCAGGCATGAGAAATTATATCCTTTCGCTTGACATTTGTATTTTCATGCTCTGGTTTCTGACATGATTGTCATCACAGGAGATATGCAGGGATGCTTAAAATCTTGGAAATCAGTCCAGGCTCTCATATCCTCCTGTGCTGCTTGCAAGCAGCCGACAGATCCTACTGTCTCACTTCAAGCTCATGGTTTCCTTAAACCTGAAGAAAATTGTCACCACTAGGAGAGAACCCATTTTTGCCCCCTATGTCTCATTTCAGGGGGTTTTCTCTGAGCCATTTCAAATTAATAGCATGGGGCTTTGAATGACCTGCTCTAGTGGGAGGTGTCCCTGCCCAGGGCAGGGGGTTGGAACTAGATGATCTTTTAAGGTCCCTTCCAACTCTGACCATTCTATGATTCTATGGTATTGCAGTATGCTGCTGACAATACATCTGTTTGCTGAAAACAACCATTAGAAAATGAGGGGTATTTAGTTTTCCGAACACATTGAACTTTCCTCTTCATTGTCTCCTTTCTTTTGATCCCGATTTCCTACCTCCCCTGTGAAGCCCTGTGCAGGACCTGGGTGAAAGCAAAGGTTTTACCTGGGGGAGGCTAATGAAGCACAATGAAGCTGTGCAGTGACAGGCAGCTGGGTGTGAGGGTTTACCTCCCCTTCACAATGTTCCTGCATAGGACCCTTCACCGCAGCACCTCAGCGGGATGGCAAGAGCCAGCTTTGCCTCCCGTAACAGAGCTGCGAGAGGAAACCTGCTGCCTGGGGTTTGCTGCAAAGGGAAAGGATGCTTTACAACTGCCTCAGTTTTGTTAGCAGAGCCTTGGAGCGTGTTATTTCCCCTGTAGCTGAGCATGCAGTTTCAGATGAGCACACAGGATCGCATCCACGCTACCTGCCCCAGCAGGGAAGCTGCAATCCCTCAGCTCAGACCCACTTAGAGGTTCACAAAAAGGACAGAAGTGAAACAGAGCCTGGGAGACAGCCAGCAACCACCCCTCGGCAGGCTGCAAGAGGCTGAAAAGCAAATCCCAAAACTGCTTCTTACTTTGCATAGCTGAGTGCCCTAGAAGGTCCAAGGAGCCTGATCAGGGTTAGGGGACATGGGGCTAACCCATTTCAGTGCTCGGGGTGAACCACACAGGCAGCTGGGGAAGCCCTCTGGGACAGGAAGGTGAGCAGCGCAGGAAAGCTGGATGTGTCCTCCATCCAAAGCCCCGTGCTGGTTTGAAAAGCTCGGTCTCATCTATTATTTTACTGCTTCAAACCCATTCTAACCAGCAGAAACAGCACACCTGGACAAGTCTCAAAGACAACCTCAGAGATGCAAACAATTCATGGGCTGCCAAAAGCAATAGTTTGGGATTCCTCCTAGTATTCCTTCTAGTATACTTCATAGTATTTGGTTCAGGTTCAACCCGAGCTCTTGGAGAAGCAAAAGATCTTTATGACCATCCCTGGGTTTCACCAGGTGCTCAACCTTGTGGGAGATGGGGTGTAAAGATGCCAAGTACATACCTGCTGGGGTGAACTGTCTCATCAAACGTGGTGCATCTGCAGCCCAAGTCCCCCCTTGGAAATAACCAGCTTGCTGAAAGCACCACGCAGGCAGCGATTCCCCCATTGCATCCATGAAATTGCAGGAGACAATCATTCTGCTACCGAGTTTCAGAATAGCTGTAGTCAGCACGTGAGACCTTAAAAATGTTTGCTGGAAACAGACAAATGATTTGTTCAGCCCAGAGGTTAAAAAGTCATTATTTAGAGTCTGTGACAAGCTTGGCAGAGTCCCCTCGCATGAACTGTCAGAATGCAAATAGAATCAATTTCAGCTTTTATGTCAATATATTACAACATAGATTTTTTTTTTCCTTAATTCACTGACAGGCTACTCCTCTGTCACCTCCTTGACAAACGAATCTGAAGTCCTGCCTCCAAATTATTGACTGTGGTTCGCCCTTGGAAATCAGTTCACGGGCTCAATACTCTGCTTTCCCACACAGGCTCCTGCCCTGGGTTGAGCTACAGCAGCATGAAACTACCATAACTGCAGTGATGCAGAGCTCCTGAGGTTTAGGGGAGCTTTAGCAGCTCTCCCACCTCAGGCTCCAAACCTGACCAGCTCTCAGACTTTCAGTTCCCCTTCTTGTCCTACCCCACCAGAGTATCCATTCTTGTGGGGAGAAAAGGAGAAGCAGCACAGCAGCAAACCCTATCAGAGGTCAGGTTCTCTGGTGGGGCTGCAGCCCCATCTCCTCTTCTCCAGCTGGCACTGGCACGCCAACCAGGGGACAGGTACCCAGCACCGGTGGCCCACGGGGACCTTCTTGCCACGAGCACCCACGCAATGCACAGGTGGCCCCCGGATGTGGGGAGGGTGAGTGAGCAGCCCCAAGCCGTGCTTGCTGCCCCCAGCACCTCCCAGACATGCTGGCTACAGGGAGCAAAGGCATGTCAGGGACTACACCATGGAAATAATCACCTGTGGGCTCTTAAAGCATACCCAGGCTGTACCATCCTCACCACCCACTGCAGGGCCTCCTGAGTCCCCTGGCTCCAGGGGTAATCACAAGGAAAAGGCAGGGTCTCGGCATGCTCTCCATCAGACCTCTGCCCTCTTGGTCCCTCAAGTGTTATGGAAAGGAAAAAAACAAACGTAGCAAGGCGTTTGATGTGTTATACATTAATTCTGTTAATTAATCCAACAGTTTCTGATGTTGGGGTAATAGCTTTGTACAGCTTGGGCAGAGGAAAATGGGGGGAAACAACACCATTTCACAGCGATTCCCTTCCACTGACAAGAAGGGGAAAGGTAATCACACTCTTCCTCAAGCATTTATGGAGACAATTATTAATGCTGCTGCAGAGCAAATTGAGACTGAACTGGGGATGTGAGACAAACACAATCCCAAAGGCAGGAAGCATTAAAGCTTAAGCACTGAAACACTTCAGATGCCAAATAAGAGAAGTCAGAGTTAAGACAGCTGGACCCGGAGGAGCCTGCAGTGACAGTGCAGCCCCCACGATCGAAGAGAGCAATCACCTTTAGAAACAAGAAAATCTACCCACACACAAAATAAGCAAGGAATTGGTTTTCTTTGCTCCATTTGACTTCGATCCCAGTGAAAATGCAACCGGGGGAAGCATTTATGTTTTCCCTCTCAAATGGTAGCAGGTGCTGTGCTCATTAGAGCTGCCCATACTTGGTTGGTCTCTGCTGCAGGTTCTTCTGCAGTAACTGCTCCCTCTCAGAGCTGCAGGAACTCTACCGTTAGCAATAACCGTGGGCACAAAGCAGTTGTGAATATTTTTTATTTTTTTTTCCCTCTAGCTCAAATATTTTTCAGCAGGTGCTTCAAAAACTCCAAAGACAAGTGTTGGAGCCTCTGCAGTCAGGGGAGCTGAGCTGTGCAGAGTGCTTTCAGCCTGCAGGACACCAGGGAGCAGCCGTGCCCCGCAGCCCGAGCTGCACTTCCCTAATTCCCCGAGCACAGCCCCCTGCCAGTGCCAGAAACCACATTTTCCTCCTCCACTGGCTCTTCGTGATGCTCTTCTGCGTATGGCAGGAGTGGGGGGCCAGCCCAGGCTCACGTCCCATGCCGTGCTACCTACCAGGCAGCATTTCTGTCCATCCTGCTCTCTGCCCCATCACTGCTCTGGGTTTCACCCCACGACCACCCCACCCGCAGGGAAAGTGTGCTGTG